CTTCCCAGCTCCTACTAAAATTCCAACAACTGGTCTCCCCAGGTCCTCCTAAACCTAAATCAACTGGTCTCACCAGGTCCTCCAAAACTTCCAAGAACTGGTCTCCTCAATTCCTCCAAAACCTCCAACAACTGGTCTCCTCACGTTTCTCAAAACCTCCAACAACTGGTCTTCTCAGGTCCTCCTAAACTTCCATCAACTGGTCTTCTCAGGTCCTCCTAAACATCCAACAACTGGTTTTCCCAGGTCCTCTTAAACCTCAACCAACTGGTCTTCCCAGGTCCTCCAAAACCTCAATCATCTGGTCTCCTCAGGTTCTTCAAAAACCTCCAAGAACTGGTCTTCTCAGGTTCTTCAAAACTTCCAACAACTGGTCTCCTGAGGTCCTGGATGTTTACAAACTGTTGTTGATTGTAGAGGGGATGCTTCACAGTTGTAAACAGGTCCTGTCCCAACTTTTTAAAGATTTGATGCTGCCATAAAATTATAAATTTTCCTTATTTTCTAACATGAATGTTACTATTTTTAGTTTAAACATTTAACTTGTTTACTATGCTCCATTTTGATATGGATTCATGAAACTTGAATGGTAATGTGTTTCGTTTTTATTTAGATTTTACACAACATGCCTACTTCTTCAAAACTGGGATTGTACACGGGAATTAATGAACCTCGTTAAAGCAGCTTGAAGGTCATTTATTCTTACCAGAGGTGTGGGGCTTCAGCGTTATCTTCGGTACTTTAAACCAGGATGAAGAATCCTTTTCTTCAGCCTCTTTGCCTCGGCTCTCCGTCTCCCTCCAGGTCTGAATCTTTGTTGAGCTGAACTCAAATCCAACAGGAGACTCTGAGCTTTCCCTGTCTAGCATTTCTGTTCTGGCATGAGATGACACCACATGTGTTGAAGTCCCCGGTGCATCACTCATAAAGACCATTTCACCTGATGTTTTATCTCCCCTAACTTCTCTGGGTGAGGAATCCTTTCCTATTTTACCTCGTGTTCCTGCACTCTCTGCCCCTGCAGCCATCTTGCTGTACGGACTGGTGAATTCCACCTTGGGAAGCTTGATTTTTCCACTGAATTTCCCTTTATCATCCCTGGAGCTTTTGTGAGGACTTGCATTTTTTTCTCCGTTGAGACTTGAACTGTCTTCCTTTAGCGTGACATCAAATGACCCCGATGTGCCAGAAGAAAATGAAACTTTAGGCATTTTAAATTTCTCCCCATTTGATGTTTCCTCTTCTTCCCCTTCTTCACCAACTGCTGCTGTTTTATCTTTGAATTTCCCAAAGCTTGGCTTCATTTTGATTTTGGGCATCTTCCCTTTGCAATCCTCTGTTTTAATTTCAGATGTCATCTCTGCTTTTGGGACACTTGCGCTCACAGCTGGCTCTTCATCTTCATCAGGCTTTACCAGGACAAAAACAGCTTTCTTTACTCTGGGCATTTTAGGACCTTCGTATTGCACTTCTGGTCCATAGATATTTGCTGTTCTTTCAGGAGAAGTAAGGGAGGGCAAAGGAACACCAAATTTAGGGATCTTGACTTTCTTGTTCATTTCTGTGTTGTCATCTTCTTCATCTTGTGATGTACCAATGTCAAACTCTATGTCTGGTATTCTGGGAATTTTGATTTCCTTTCTGAAAGACGAGTCCCCAATATCTCCCCTTGTTTCGGTTTTTAAACCAACACTTGGTAGTGTAACTTCTGCTGTTGGGATATTAATATGTTTATTGTCATCTGACAGCCCAGTGTGTTGGACTTTGGTGTCTAATGTGCTTTCACCAGTTGGTTTTACATCTACTGTTACATTTCTACCAGTTTTCTTTTTCGGCAATCCAATCTTGAACTTTTTTCCTTTGACTTTGGGTTCCTTAACTTTTCCGCGAGTTCCTGCTGTGTTCAGATCCAAATCAGGTGATTCAACTTTTGTCTTGTCCTTCTTCCCTTCTCCTCTGTGCAATCGTACATCAAGCTCCAAGTCTCCTTGTGGACCTTTTACATCTATTGTCGGAACTTTCAGTTTCAGACTTTTGTGTTCACACTCCACATGCAAATCAGTGTCTTTATGAGCTTCTGTGTCCAAACCTAGTGTACCTTTTTGTTGTACTTTAAGTTTACCTTCTGCCTTCCCAGTCGGTAAGTCAATCTCAGATGATTTATCTTTTGGCCATGAAATTTTTCCCTTTTGAAGTTCAACATCTGGACCTATGAGTCCCATTTCCAGAGCAGGCCCTTTATTATCTTTACCTTTACCTTTAGGAAGAGATATATCAACTTTTGGCATCTTGAATGTTCCTCCTTCAACCTTAATTTCAGTGTTACGATCTTCAGTCTTAACTTTGGGTAGTGAAAGATCTACTGAGGGAATTGTTGACAGATTGCCCTCTCCCTCAACTGTTACATCCATTCCTTTATTTCTTCTGGAGTTTTCTTTGGTTAGAGAGATGTCAACATTTGGCATTTTCACATGAGGCAGCTTGAATTTTCCTCCCACATTTCCTTTAATTTCAGCATCTGAATCGTCAGTCTTCCCTTTTGGTGTTGATATGTCGACTGTGGGCATTTTCATGTATGGTATTTTGACTTTTTCACTTCCATCTCCCTCAACATTAGGACCTTCAACTTTTGCTTTGGGTAGTGAAATATCAACAGAGGGCACAGTGACGTGTGGCATCTTGAATTTTCCACCTTCTCCTTTGATCTCCAAATCTGGGGCTTCAAAATGCCCTTTGGGCAGAGAAATATCAACATCTGGCATTTTCCAATGAGGGAGTTTGAATTTTTCTCCAGAAGTTCTCTCTGTTTCAACATTTTGACTTTCAACACTTCCTTTGGAAAGTGAAATATCAACAGAGGGCATGTTGACAGCCTTGGGTTTTGGTATAGTTATTTCAACAGTGGGCATTTTAACATAGGGCATTTTAAACTTGTCTCCTTCACCCTCCATTTCAACACTTGGTGCATGGAAATCTTTGGATTTTCCTTTGGGAAGTGTAATATCCACTTTTGGCATCGTAATCTGGGGCATTTTAAATTTTCCTTCACCTCCTTTAAGTTCCACATCAGGGCCTTCAATTTTGGCTGTTTTTTCTTTTGGCAGGGATACATCCAGATCCACTTTGGGAATGGAAACATCAATTGTAGGCATTTTGGGAATTTTGAGGTTTCCTTCATAACCTTTAATATCTGCGTCTGAAACATCAACTTCTGATTTGGGGAGAAGAACTACTGTCTCTGGTATTTTAGCTTCTGGTAGTGACAGCTCAGCAGATGGCATCTTGCCTTTGGCTGGAACTTCAAATTCACCATCTGGAAGCTGAATTTTTGGTGATAAGATTTTGAACTTTGGGAACTTCACTTTATGTTTTGCTTTCCCTTCTGGGCCCTCAGTATTGAAATCTACCTTAGGAATGTCAGTTGCCCCATTTTTCATTTTCACATCAACATCAGGACAAGATACAGATACATCTGCATCCTTTTTGAAAATTCCAAATGAAGGCATTTTCATTTTTGTTTTCTTAACTTTGACTTTTCCATCTCTATCAAACTCTACTGACGGTGCCCTAATCTCTCCTTCCACACTTGGTGGATTAAGTGAAACATCTCCTTTGGGTCCTGATATCTCTAAGTCACGATTCTTTGACTTTCCACCAGTTCTGGGCAAAGAGAAGCTAGGGACTTTAAGTGAGACATCAGGTAGATCAAAACTGCCCCCTGAAGAAGGCCTTCCTCCTTCTGCTTTCAAAAGCTCCAGTTCTACATCATCACCTTTAGGTTTAGTGAGGGCAAAATCCAAGTCCATTTTTGGAGCTGAGATGTCAACTGTTGGTAGTTTGACTGAGGGAAATTTTAGGGATACACCTGAACCTTCTACACCCCCTGTGTTTAGGTCTTCACACTTAACTTCCGACTTGGCTGGTTTGATATCACCTTTGATACCTGACATCTCCAAATCTCCAGAGGCGTCGAGGCCACCACCCTCCATTTTGAACCTTTTATCTTTAGAGCCAGAAGGAAGGCTGAGATCTAGGTCTAATTTGGGAATATTTATGTCAAGAGATGGAATCTGGAGCTTCCCACCTTTTTTGTCAACATCAACTTTTGGCATTTCAAACTTTCCCATTCCTGATGGACCTTTAATATTGATATATTCCTCAAAATTTCCCTCTGGAAATGACATATCATCAGCAGGTACTTCAATCTTTCCTCCTTTAATTTGTGGCCCTTCCACTTGAACATCACATTCAGGTAGGTTTGCCTTTGGAAGTGAAATGGCAACTTTGGGCATTTTAAATTTGCGTCCTTTTACATCTGTACCCTTGATATCAGTGGAAGTTTGTGGACCTTCTATGTCAACCTCTGGTCCTTTTGCCTTCAAAGGAATAGAAGACATATGAAATTTTCCTTCTTTCCCATCATGACCTTCAACTTCAATTTCTCCTTTGGCTTTAACTTTGGGAAATGACAAATCAATATCTGGCATTACAGTTTTCTCTTTTTTGATGTCTGGGCCTTTTATATTCAAAGCACCTTCTGGGAAACTCATCTTTGGTAAAGAAACATCAATTGTTGGCATTTTAAACTTAGCACCCTTTACTTCAGGACCCTCAACATCAAAATCTCCATCAAACTTTCCTTTGGGGAGTGAAATATCAACACATGGTAAGTCAACCTGGGGCCCTCCAATCTCAGGGCCTTTAAGAACTATATCCACCTCTGGAGCCTTTACATTAGGACGTGACACATCACCCTTGATTTTAGGTCCCTGAATGTCCATATCAACACCTTTTGCTTTGATTTTAGGAAGTGAAAAGTCAACTGAAGGAAGATGAAACTTGCTGCCTTTCCCAGTTTCAGCATCAATTTCCACACCTGCCTTTGCTTTTGGGAGGGAAATGTCAACAGTTGGCATTTCAATTTTTCCTTTTATGTCTGGTCCTTCAAGTTTTGGTACACTCACATGTGGTAGAGAAACATCAAACTTTGGCATCTTGAATCTTCCTCCTTTCGCATCAGGGCCTTCAACATTTATGCCACCCTCTACATCAACCCTTGGGATTTTGACAGTTTCTTCTTTGAGATCAGGTCCTTCATGATTAATATCTAGCTCTGGTGACTTTATTTTAGGCAGAGAAACATCAAGAGAAGGCAAGTTTATGTCAAGCCCTTCAATCTCAGGGCCATCAACATCGATCTCAGGTCCCTTAGTCTTCATTTTAGGAAGATTTATGTCAATTGAGGGCATGTGGAATTTGCCTCCTTTGGCACAATGTCCTTCTGCTTCAATACCACTCTTTACTTTTCCTTTTGGAAGTGACAAATCAATATCTGGCATTGTAATCTTCCCAGTTTTGATGTCTGGGCCCTTGATCTTCAAATCACCTTCTGGAAGTTTAACCTTTGGTAAGGACACATCGATTTTTGGCACCTTAAACTTGCCACCGTTTACTTCTGGACCCTCAAGATCAACACTGCCCTCAATTTTACCTTTGGGAAGTGAAATATCAAGAGATGGCATGTCAACCTGGGTCCCCTCAATCTCTGGACCCTTGAGGTTGACATCTACCTCTGGAGCCTTTATTTTAGGATGCGACACATCACCCTTGATGTTAGGTCCCTGAATGTCCATATCAACACCTTTTGTTTTGATTTTAGGAAGTGAAAAGTCAACTGAAGGAAGATGAAACTTGCTGCCTTTCCCAGTTTCAGCATCAATTTCCACA